AAAACCGTGCCTGCGCATGAAACACCATGATTTATAGCTAAATTTCACGGAACACAGGGATTTAGAGATTAGCAACATTCGATGCCACACAAACAGATGCACCCAAGGAGAATTAGACATCTAACTTGCCTTATCCACCTTTTTAATATATCGTTTCTCTTCAAAAATAAAAAACCTTTGACAGATAGTTCATACAAACACAGACACCCAACACCGATCTTAATTTCTTTTTCACCTTCAAAGACAGTTGCAAATACAACAAAATGAAGGAAAAATGAAATGTCATCATTCAAGTTATAGGCCATGGGACTCAACAATGTGGAACAGCACAGGGCTTTCCACTCCAGTACTGTTAAAGTACTTCAAGTAGGATAATGCCCAAGGGAATTTTAAGCCACAGCTAATTGTGGCAGGCATTAGTATGGATGAGATGGTACGCTAAACTGAACATATAATGTGAGTGTGTGCACGTGCATGTATGCCTGCAGGTAAACATCTGGATCTACAGAAATATACTTCATCTGCCAATAGACATTCCAATAGTTACCTGTATAAACGTCAACTCTTTACATGTAATGTGTGTGTGCATGTGCATGCTCTTGTATCTACAGAAATATAGTTCATCTGCAACCAGACATGCATATATTTACCTGTATAAACATCCTCTCCGCTTCTCCAACTTTACCATTTTCTCTCAAAATAATTCCCTGCAGAACCATTAAAGAGACAAAACTTTAAAGCAAACACAAGTTCTTTTTATCCAAAATACCAAGGATCTAGCAAACGAAGACACGCCAAAATACCTAAGGGAAGAAGAGTTGTCTAAAACAAAAATAGTTCAATGACCTTCAGTAGCGCTTTTTCCTCACAAGGAGACCTTTTGTTGGCATAAAGAATTTCAATAAAACTGAAGTGCCTCCCACATATTCACTTGGAAGCACTTCTTGAAGAAGCACATGTTCTCCAGCACAAACTAAAGTGATTCTATAACCTAGCAAACACTTGCATCTATTTCTACCAAACACAATAAAAAAACCACTTTTAGTTATATGGAAGTGCTACCAAGCAAATTTGAAGACCTTAAAGGAAGTTGCCAGACATGAGAAATGACATCCTCTACAGTCAAATAACATGTGATGGGGTACTTGGTTAGAGCTAAGTGGCAGACCCTGATTTTTTTTTCTTTTTCTTTTTCCCTTTCTTAGAACATCCAACCAACCCCATCTAATTAGGAATTTAAAGGCTTTCTTGAGTTTAGCTGA